TTGCCACTGTACTGTAGCTCAAGTTCTCCCCTGCCTAATCCTTTCTTTTCTTTCACAGGTGTTGGTTCTGAAAGCACCCCTATTAAAATCTCTGCTCTTGAATCTCTGCATCAGTCTCTGCTTCCTGGGGAGCATGACAGGCAACAGTCTAACATCTGTTTCAGCTGTACCCTTCTCAAGACAGTCCATAAAACATCCAATGCCTGTTGGAGTCCAGATCCACTTCTGAGCTGTTTTCACTAAGGAGGTCTGCAGGATAAGGAGCTAGGGCCACAGCCTCACCCACAAGACACTCCTATTTCCCTGCTCCTCTCCTTCCCACTCCTCTACAAATATCTGTGCATCCCTATTCAGAGATCTTGTTACCATCCAAGCAGACAAAAATTCCCTCTTTGGGTCCAAAGTAACTGTAAACTGAATACTGTTTAGTTGAAACTGAATCCCTTCGCAGGAAGTGTCTGCTTCCAATGTCTTTTAACAACTGAGCGCATCCCAAGTTCAAATCCCAGCCTCCCTGCTGAGAGGTTGTCCTGCCTCACACAGCAAAACACCGAGCTCAGCAGAGGTCCCCTTGGCACAGACCAGCTGCTCCCCCAGCTTCATTGGCAGAGTTACAGCTCAGGGTTTCCACTACCTGAAACTCCTTTCAGTTAGGGATGGTTTTTGGATTCCTGTGAAGGAGATGGCTCCCACTTCCCCTCAACAGAGAGCAGGCTAGCCTGGAGTTTCCCCAAGTCAGTCTAGCCCCAAAACCAACCAGAAATGAGAATAATTTAGAGGAATGGGAGAATGATTGGAAAAAAATCAGATGCAGATTTGACCTAGTGGGTTTTGAGTCAACAGCCAGGGCTGTGATGTCCCTTGACTTCAGCCCTGGAGATATGCAGTGTCTTCTTATGTCCCACACCCACAACAGACACCAGACCTCAATCACATAACTGTCTGGGTATCATCACACAAATGTCTCTTTATTTGCTTCTTAACATATAGGCCTTTTCCTCCATTTCTCCCTCTGCTTGTGGAACATTCTCTCATGCCCACAAAAAAAAAAAAAAAAGGCTTCTCTGGAAGCTCTAACATTCCTCTTTTAACCATCCCCCTCCCACAGCAATACAGATTTTTCTTTGTATTTGATGGAATCAAAATCAGATGGGTTGCCATCAGGTATACAGTATAAACTGTACTCTTGGTATTTCATCATAATAGCAGGTTCGGGACCAAAGCCAAACAGTGGCAATTTCTTCCCTTCAAAGAAAAATTGTTTTTAAGAATTAAATAGAATTTTCCTTCTTTATGCCATCCTCAGCAGACCCTTCCCCAGCCTATGGTATAATATTTTGAGGGAGATCTTTTTTTGTAGAATATCATGAAGATTTCCATATTTCAAAGCAATACACTTGATGCCTTCAGCAAAAATAAATAAGTAGATTTATCAAATGAGTTCAGAGTCACAGGCCAGATAAAATTAAGGTAATCTGGCCTTAAAGAGGAAAGTTTCTTAAAAAAGGAGAGCTAGGGAGAAAGATTATACTGCCTTGCTGTGTAAGCATGGAAAACTGATCTGGAGTGGAGATTTAAAGGCCTTTATTCTTACCCCTGGTATTTGGGGGCCTTCCAGCACCCACACATTTTTGTCAGTCAGTGTTTACAAAGAACTGAAGAAGCAGCAGCAATTCAGGAAAAGATTGTATTTCAGGATGGAAAAGATTAATCAAGAAGTCACATGGTTCATTATTATGCAACAAGAGGTAATGGACTTTAAATGGTGAAAGAAATGACTTCGTAAACAATTTTTTTCCCCTCTAAAAGGATAAAGGAAAGAAGAGGTGGAGAAAATTTCAGCACCACTTAGGAAGCGAAATTGGAGGTTTGACAATCTCTGCAGACCTCCAAAAGAGTACGTAGCATTTCTGAGGTTGTAGTATCATTGTATAATTGTTATAGATCTACTCTGCAGCCCTTAAGAAAATATTCTTGGATTGAGGTTTCCCCCTCCCCCATTGCAGTTAGCCCATTAGAACAAAATGGTCATTTCTTCTGCTTCCTGCACAGCAATTATTTTGTTGACAGCTATGTAGAGACTGTCAACATATAGGCCTTTTACTGTCATCATGAATGTCTAATGGAGATAACCATAAGAGTGATGGTAATGGTGGTGATGGTAGTAATGGAAGTGAAAATGATGAGGTGATAATGGTAGGCATGGGGTGGTAATTACTGGTGACAGTGATGTGGTAGACGGGGTAATTGTAATGATAGTATTGGTGGAACTATGGTGGTAGAAATGGACTGGTGATGTGGTGATGCTAGTGGTTGTGGTGATTGTGGTAGTGCTGGTGGTGATGTGGTGGAGGAAATGATGATGATGATGGTGATGATGATAGTGAGAAAATGGTGGTGGTGGTGGTGGTGATGTTAATGAAGATTATGATGGTAATGGTAACAGTGATGATGATAGTGATGGTAATGATAATGATGTTCATGATGGTGGTTAGAGATAGTGGTGTGGGAAATATAATGATAAGACCATTCATTTGCAGAGATTCCGTCCCTATTCAGAAGGATATAAGATACCAGAACTCATTTCTGAACTTCCTTTAATGAGTCCTCAGTGGAAATAGGTGGATTTATTTATTCTGTCATTCAATAAATATTTGTTCAGTATCCACTATGTGTCAGGCATTGTTCAAGGTCTTAATGACACAGAAGTAAACAAAACAAACAAAACTCCCCTGTGAGTCTTCACTATAACCAGTGAGGTAGACAATAAACAAAATGAGCAAATACAATATGTCATATTTAGGGTGATGATAAACCCTAAGGAGAAAGACAAAACATAGGGGAAAGACATGAAGATGGGTGGGAGATAGTAGTGTGTGTGTGTTACTTTGGATGATTGTTAAGCAAGTATTCTTTACCTTCCCCCTCCCAGTGTGGGCAGAATTTAGTTCTCTGCCTCATAAAAGTTGAGCTTTGGTCATGTGATTTACTTTGACCAACAGGATTTCAGTGATGTGATGCAAAAAATCATAAATTTCTTATAGTGTTTAGCTTGGATCTTGAGTTTTTATGATAGAGCACAAGAAAAGCATACCCCAGACAGCTACTGCCCTTCATTCAAGGCCTCAACAAAAACACATTGGGTAGACCTGAACCCAACCCACCGCCTAAAGCATATGTAACCACAGCTGAGCTCATCTTGTGTATCAATCAAACCTCAGTGGAACTCATGAGTATGGAAATAAATGCTTGTTGTTAGTCATCAAGTTTGGGGGTGGTCAATACGAGGCCTGATTCTGGCATTAGCTCACAAACACAGATGAGATGCAATTTTCAATAAGGTGACCAGGGAAGGCCTCGTTGGGAAGATGGTATATACATAAAGATCTGAAGGAGGTGAAGCAACAAGTAATGTAGGTAAGTGTAAAAGATTATTCCAGGCAGAAGGGAAAGCAAGTACAGAAGGTCTGAGATGTGAATAGAAATGACACATTTAAGCAGGGAGGCCAGTATGCCTGTAACAAAGTAAAAGAGCAGGAGAAATTATTGATGAGGTTAGAGAAGTAATGGGGGTGGGAGGTAGATGGTATAGGGCCTTGAAGGTTATAGTAAGAATATTAGGAAGCTGCTAAAGGGTTTTGAGTCAGAGGAGGAGCATCTAATTTAACTTGTATTTTAAGAGGATCACTCTGACCTTGATGCAGGTAGACAATAAGGTAGGAGTGAAAGCAAGGAGACCACGTAGAAGGCTACCACTAAAATCCCAGTGACAGCTGATGGTGGCTTGTACCCAAAAGCGGGGAGCAGTTGCAGTGGTGACTTATTGTCTTGGGCCATCTCCAAGAATGCCTGGACTCTTCATCACAACACCCCAGTAGTCAAGGAAGCCAAGGCCAGGAGGCTTCTGTTTAATGGTGGTTATCAGTAACAGAACTGAGATTCCCACTCCCACATCTCCAATCTGTTGCTTAGCACAAGGAGCGTCCCCACTCTGTCCCTCTATTGTCTGTGGTCTTAGTGATTCAGGAAAGGAGGATCTTTTTAGAACAGCTCAGGCAGACACAAATCCAGCCTGACAGCCCAACCACAGCTCCTTGTGTACGTGGCTCCTTTCTGCTTTGTCTCAGTCGGCCACGCTCCTTTTATTCCAAGCCTCAGATGAAGAGCTTGCCTGCATTCTGGGGGCCCCAGCTGCTCTTCTTGTTTCATGGTGGCACCCAAAGTGCTGGCATTCCTGCATTCTAAACCTCCTTATTTTCTATTATCAAAGGCTCCACTTGAAAGAATTGGCCTGGCTTAGTCATTCAATAAACATCCACCTCCCTGTGGCACCATATTGTCCTTAACCAACCACTTCTCTACTTGGCCTTGGACCTTTATAGAATAATCAAAAAGGCAGACTTATCCCAACATTTTCCAAACTCTGCAAGGCACATTGCTTTTTTTCTTTACAGTTCACTCGATTCTATGAAAAGGTAGATAAGGGGGAAAGTAGGTGCTGCATGTTTATAGGTATGCTGGGAGGGGATACTGTCCAGAATATTTATTATTTGAATATCATTAGTTTTTTAAGCTTGTGTTCCCTGCCTTTTTATCCCTCTTGGCTCAAGTTGAAAGTCTCAGAGAATATACTTTAGAAGAGAAAATAATATTTTCAAAATCAAAGTATGGCCTACAATACATGCATCTATCTGTAAAAACATTAGAAAATGTTAACAAAGTGAACTAAATTGGCCCTAGTCCTCTCTTATTTTGTCAAGTGACCTGCAAGAAAACAAAAGGGAAATTTTGTAACAAATTATCAGAGCAGCTAAATACCGTTCCCTATTAGCAAATCTCCAGGTTTGAAGAAATGTTCTGTCCTGACCTTGTGTGGCCACCCATGTGAGTCTATTTGGCTGGATTTATTGTGGATCTCAGAGCCTTCATCCACAGGTTACCAAGACAACAAGCTCCACCCCAGCGATGGGAGGGGGAGAAGGTTTTCAAGGAGAGAAAAACTCCAGGCAGAAGTGATCTTTCCTGGCTTTGGGAAAGGAAAAGGATAAGGCAGAAGTATACATGAAGCCACTGAGGAGAAGGAACAGTGAGAAGACAAAAAGGAGCTGGACGGTGAGTGTTCACCTCTTGGGGGCTTGTGAAGGAGGCCCAGTTTGTGGCCAATTTGTTTAAAACCATGTACCCAATGTATCAAAAATCAGCCTAGGTTGGTTCATTAGCCAAAAGAGAAAGTAGAGGAGATTGAACTAACTCCATTCAGAATCTAAGCTGATGTTCAGGAGTCACAAGATCATCTTTGACCATCACAGTAGGCTGGGAGGGAACCTTGAGACCTTCAGTAAAGCTACCTCACTTTACAGATAAAACTGAGGCCCAGGGCTGGAGGTCATGAAGTGTAGTCCTCAGGATATCCCTGGGAAGTGGAATGGAGCTTCTAATGCAGCTCAATCCCAAACATAAACAGCTAAGCAGAGGTATTGCAGAATTGCTAGTTGAGAAATTAAATTGAGTAATGTAAAAGGTGGCAGTGGGGTTTATGATACGTGAGTGGTGGATAGAACAGTGAGGCAGGACCACTGCTGCGTCTGAATTCACTTCAAAGAAGGTATTCAAGGTTGAATCAAAAGTATAAAACCAGCTGAAAAAGAAAAAAGGAATTGTGTGGTTCTCATCAGCTGGTGGAAGTCTCCATGCACCAATATTGAATAGTCAGTCCCTCCCTGATTTCTGGCTCTCACAGCCTGACTTCCAGGCAAGGCTATGGATTTCCTGCACCCATACTTTCCTACCTTCCCTCCAACTGTATTTCTCTAGCCATGTGACTTTTAATTAGCTGCTGTCATTTGCAGAACAAGTTTCTGGAGAGTTCAATGATCAGCCCAAGGTCATGTATTTCTTAAGTAACAGAAACAAGTCTCTGGGACAATGGGCCCAGTGCTCTCTGCCAACTCCACCCTTTCCCTGTCAGAAAAACATTACAGATTACTAATTGGATACTCAGTGCTAGAAATGGTTAGCAAATAGAAATGCCACGAAAATGCACAGGTGTGAACAATCTAAGTAAGGCAAGAGAGGAAAAGGATGACCGAAAGCTAGAGGAGAGAGGCCAAACTGTTGACAGGAGGAAAAAATAAATAACTTCTTTATTATCTGAACAGGCAGTCAATGAAAAGAGGAAATTGAGTGGTGCCCACCTCGATCACTATTAGATCATGAATCTAAGATAGCAGGTCAGAGTCAAATAGAGAATTTTGAAAGGGGAAAATCTTAAATTATTAAACAAAATGAGTTTGAGATGGGTCTCTTTTATGAAAAATAATTAAAACACCATAAAATGATTTCAAGGAAAAAAACTGATTTTCTTAAGCAAAGGAAGAATTAATTATCAGGCTATCAGGAGCTAAGAGAATGAATCAGAAGCTGGAGGACAAGACTTGGACAACTGGTAGGACCCAAGGGTTCTCCTAAAGCGGCAGAAACCATAGCCACAGCCTGACTGCCACAGGTATCATATTTTCCTTAAGTTTCTGTTCCCTGCTAAATATTTAATTCTGATACTCCCTATATATTCGTACTCCTTAAGATTCAGAATCCCAGAAAACCTTTGCCATCTGCACCTAAGATACAGCGTTAATCTCCAGGATATATGAAGAACTCAAAAAAACTTAACACCAGAAAAAAATAATAACCCAATCAATAAATGGGCAAAGGAACTAAACAGACACTTCACAGTAGAAGAAATATGATCTGTATTTTAGTCAGCTTTTTCGCTGCTTCAACTAAAGGATCTGACCAGAACAGTTTTATGGGAGGAAAAGTTTATTAGAGGACTCAAAGTTTCAGAGGTCTTAGTCCATAAAAGGCAGACTCCATTCCTTAGGGCCCAGGGTGAGGCAGAACATCATGGTGGAAGAGTGTGGCAGAGGGAAGCAGCTCATATGGTGATCAGAAAGCAGAGAACGACTCCACTTGCCAGATACAATATATAAACCCCAGAGTCACTCCCCCTCAATGAACCACTTCTTCTAGCCACACCCCACCTGCCCCCAGTTACCAGTTAATCCCACCAGGGATTAATTCATTGATTAGTTTAAGGCTATAACTCAATCATTTCTCCTCTGAACCTTCTTGCATTGTCCCATACATGAGCTTTTGGGGATACCTCACATCCAAACCATAACAGTCAGTTAACAAATATATGAAAAAATGTTCAACATCACTGGCAGTAAGAGAAATGCAAATTAAAACTACACTGAGATTTTATCTTACTCCAGTCAGAATGGCAATTATCAAGAATACAAGTAACAAAAAATGTTGGTGAGGATGTGGGGGAAAAGTACACTCATACATTGCTGGTGGGATTGCAAATTGGTGCAACCACTCTGGAAAGCAGTATAGAGATTCCTCAGAAAACTTAGAATGGAAACACCATTTGACCCAGTTATCCCACTCCTTGTTATACACCCAAAGGACTTAAAATTAGCATTCTATAGTGACAAGGCCACATCAAAGTTTATAGCAGCTCAATTCACAATAGCCAAGCTATGGAACCAACCTAAATGCCCTTCAACAGATGAATGGATAAAGAAAATGTGGTACATATACACAATGGAATATGACTCAGCCATAAAGAAATTATGGCATTTGCCAGTAAATGTATGGAACTCATGCTAAGTGAAATAAGCCAATTCCAAAAAACCAAAGACCAAATGTTCTCTCTGATATGTGTATGCTAACTCACAATGATGGGGGGAGGTTCACCAGATTGGATGCGGGGGTAGGGGCAGAGGGAAGGGAATAGGATGGGAATGGGAAAGACAATACAAAGACTTGACATAACTTTCCTACGTACATATATGAATACACAACCAGTGTGTCTCCACATCATGTACAACCACAAAAAAATGGAAGTTATACTCCATATATGTATGATATGTCAAAATACATTCTACTGTCATGTACAATTAAAAAGAACAGATACATTTAATAAAAAGATTCAGTATCCCAGGAACAAGTGTCTAATTGGCTATTTACATCTTGGCTATACCAGGGGTCATAAAGAGGGAGAAACAGTTCCCCTCTGGCTTCTGTAATGAGATCATTAACAGGAGCTGAGACCGCTATTGCCCTCCTACTAAGACATTCACAATGGAGATGTATTAGCACATGCTAACTACAATGGCAAACAAGTCCCATGATCTAATGGTTTAACACAATAGAAGAACAGTTCTTAGTCATGTAACTGTCCAACGCCAGAATTCCTGGTTGGTGATTAACCTCCCATATGATTACCTGCAGCCCAGAATTCCTCCATACTGTGACTCCGCCCTCTTCTTGGGCCTTGTAATCCTTTGCATTCTGCTGGAAGATGAATAAAGACAATGAAGAAATACCAAGTGCTTAAGCTTCTTGACCCAGATGTGACATACAACATTATTGTTCCCATGGGCAAGAATAAGTCCTCTGGCTTCAACTACATGTAACAAGGCATGGGAAATACAATTCCTGGTAGGCAGCTGTTTTCAATCAATAATTTTACACTCTGCAAGAGGGAGTCCAAATCTTCAGTGGGCAAAGATAAGAAGGAGCAGGAAGGGAGTAGGTCGGATGTGTGACAGCCTAAAGCCAATACATGTTTGTTACAAAATGTATTTCCAGAGACTGATAAGGAAGCCTGTATTTTCATTTAAATTAAGTTAGCTGTACCTCCTTCACCAGAATTTATAATTCTCAAGGTCAGATGTGCCCTGAGAGGTCCATCTGCTACCCAGGATAGAATTCCCGTTTGACAACTCTGATGACAAGGTAGTATTCTACCTGTATTCACAAACATCCTCTGTTGGGCAGGGAGCCAGAACAGGGCCAGGCCACCGCCCAACAATGGGGACCGCCCCTAGGGCTTTTGGCTCTAGGCTTCTGGGTTCTTCTTCCTGTTTGAGAAAAGGGGCCCGCCAAAAGAGCCCACCAAAGGGCCATCTCTGGCCCAGGAGCCCAATAGGGAACTGACAACAGGCATGCCAATCATATCTACACACACTTCCCATAGGGGTGATGTAAGTCCCTGAAAACACTACTGCAGCTGCAGACCCTTCCACCTCTACTGTAGCCTGTGCGGAATAAACTGATCTCTGGATGACCTGGTGTGATCCCTCACTGTCATGCCTCGAGTGGTTGGGGTCTTCAGGGGTCTTTCATTCTCAAGATCAGTGTATCAGTTAAATGTTTAAAGGTAGACATAATGGAAAACTCAATGCAAAGTGAAATTCAGAGGGAGAGGAGATTTCGGCATAGGATGATCAGCAGCTTAATGGGCAGGTTTTTTCTCTCCCATCTGCTGGTTTCATCCTAAGGGTGGTTCCCTTCATGGCCACAAGATACCTGCCAGTGACAGTCAAGACTAATGTGTCCTGATACAAGTCCAGTAGGAGAAAGGTAAAACCTTTCCTCCAACCATGAAATACAAGATATTTAAGTATGATTGGGCCAACTCAGTCTATGTATCAATCTCTGAACCAGTAACTAAGACAGTGCCATGTGCTAAAGGACTTGGACTAGTCAGAATCCGTCCCTTAAGCTGGGAATGGGGTCTCCTCTCTCATAATCACAAAAGGATAATATGTCCATAAAATTGGGTTTCTGTAGCCAGAGAAGGAGAAAAATGGATACGTCTGGTAAATCAACATTATCCAATGAAGATGGAGGAGGCTTTAAGAAAGGCCTTTCCACTTTGGGCAAGCGCTTATTATTAAAAAGTTCTTATTTATACTGAGCCCAAATCTTGCTCCCTGATCTTCTTTCTGAAGCTCTACAGCATAAGACTAAACCTTCTTCCTTATAACATAACTTTTTTTCAAAACTTTAAAGATACTGTATGTTCTTATTCTACCCCAAAGTTTTCCCTTCTTCAAGCTGAGCCCCTTTGCTTATATCCTCCTCATGTGTCATTTCTCCCCTCCTCATTACTCTTATCTTTCATTTATATGCATGCTCCCATTTGACAAAATCCCTCCTATACAGTAATGTCCAGAAGGGAATCACATAACATACCTTGTGTTCGTTCTATAATCCCCTCTATTAATATAGCCAAATCTAAATATCTAATTAATAAAAGC